GCTGCTGCTGCTGCAGGTCCATGTGTACAATGCGATTAACTTCAAGAAGAAGCTGAGTATGTTCAGCTGCTGCATTTGCCATGTTTAGACAACTTAATGAGACAACCCGGAGGCAAATCACCACAGGCAGAACATGTGGCGAATCAAGAAGAATGACAATTTGTCTTGCATTAACCAACTGTAATATACACGTCTCCCGAATGGAAGATCAGGAGGAGAAGCTATTCTGAGCACGTCATATCTTTGTACGTACACAAAGAAATGCCTCTATCTTGAAAGCTGCCCAATTAACACTTGACACCCACTGTAATTGCCGATGCTCCTTGCTGCATTTATCAGATCATAGCAGAACCGTAATAAGCTGTCTGAAAGGCCACACAGACCGAGGTGAGAGCTGGTGGCTGAATTGGGAAGGACACATCAACACCCAGCAGAAGGTTCCCACCAGGCTGGGGCTCATCCCGAAGAACAGACAGACAGAGGGGACCCTGTGAGCCAGAAGCCTGATCGGAGAAGTCAGGCAAACCTCAAACTGTTCAGGTGCAAGGGCACCCTCAGGACCTTTGCTGAAGACCACTGGCTGCCCTGTTAAATCCTTTCCTTTCCAAAGGCACAGCCACCTAGGACCTGGTTCCTACAAGTACAATCCTAGGACCTGATTTCACTACAAGTACGTTTGGTGATTGACCCTGCAGAAGGAAATCAGAGGGTTCATCCTACACCTGCTGAATAATCCCACCCATGCCTGCAATGCCCTGTTATTTAACAGGAATAGATGCACGGGGAAGCAAACTTAAGACATTACTTCTGGTGAGATGCATGAAGAACCCCACCAGTCTTATAATCCCTCTGCAGCTCCAGAGCAAGCAGCTAATGACCCCTTTTCCCGATACCACACAGAGTCCTGGAATACTGCTACAGCACTGGGAGCAGCAGCGTTTGCAGAGGGACTGAAGCCCTGGGGCTGAGTTTTGCTCCCATTTACATCAGAGCCACTTTGCTCTAGTGGAGCGGCTCTGGGTCTGGCACAAGCATGAGCAAACCCAGGGCACTTCCAAGGGCTCAGTCACCTCCTCTGAAGCATGTTTAAGCACGACTCAGATGAAGAGGCGAAGCCCCTCACATATCAGTCATAGAGTCATATAATAGTTTGGGTTGAAAGGGACCTTCAAAGGTCATCTAGTCCAAACCCCCTGCAATGAGCAGGGACATCTTCAATTAGGTCAGGCTGCCCAGAACCACATCCAATCCTCCATTTTCAGAGGGATCAAGGTCCCTCGAGAGGTGAGGCTGAAACACAAACACTTACCTGTGTCCCTGCAGGGCCCACAGATGCAAAAGCAGACCTGCAGATGTGGCAGGCAGCAGCAGCTACCCCTAAAGAACCTCCCTCCCCATGGGCAGGGGCACAGGCAGGGACACGGGCAGGCAGACCGCGCTCTTACCCCATCTCATGCTCCTCCAACAGGCCTGCAGCTAAAGAGATCTTCGCCAACAAACAAAAGCCTCCCTGCAGACTAGGAAAATCTCCATTCTCGCCTAAAAAGCATTTGGCTTCCAAAGCAAACTCCAGCCCCTTGTTTTTCCTTTGAAGAAACTTAAAATAGGCTGGGGAGGGGGAAGCGGGCAGGAGAGCAACTTCCCGGCCATGCGAGCTCCCGCGGGGATGACGAGCCGACCCCACGAGGCAGCAGAGCATCCGAAACCAGAGGAGGGAGAGGCTGGGATTTTGCGTGGGCTCTTCTTAAAGCCAAGTTTAAAAATGGAAGAGTAGGAAACACAGGAGTTATTTTGAGAAAGCGGATCTGAAATTAGGAGGCGGCATTTTCTTGGCCCGACTCCAGCCATGGCTCCATGCAGCACAAAGCTGCTGCAGCTGAACCGTGCTCCCGGGGTTATTTATAGCAGCCCGTAGGCAGCAGCGCTGGGGAGTGGAAGGGTTTCTATTTGGGATCAGACATGTCCTGCATGGGCATAAGCAAAACCCTTCGACAGCCCTTCCCTTCAGCGCTGGGAAAATTCCTGTCCCGGCAGCATGATGTCCCAGGGAGAGGCAGAGCCGCAGGAATGGTGTGGCAAAGAGGCAGCTAAAATCCAGGAGGAGTGTGGCTGAAGTCAGCAGAAATCATGGAAACCCTCAGGCGAGACACCTTTCTACACAAGGCATAAAGCAAACAATCTGAGGGGATGCAAAGGCCCTGCATCTGTGCCAAGATCTGCTGGGACCAAACCACAAAACCTGGCTGTGCTGGTTCCATGGGGAAAAGTTTTCATTCCTAGGAGCACAGATACTAATTCTTTCCCCTTTAAGCCTCAGCATCCTCTCTCCAACAGCCAAACCACCCCAGCAATTTGCTGCCTTGCCCACAGAGCAGGTGGGACAAGCCCCAGTGCCGTGGGAAGGGAAAGCAATGCTCTTCCCTCCCCAGCTCCCACAGCAGGCAGGGATGGCTACCATTGGTGCTCCTAACCCAGCCATGGGAGCCCAAGGATACGTGTCCTGCCCTGAGCTCTCCTTGAACCCAAGCGTCTCTGAGCATCATTGGTCAGAGGCTTGCTCGTACTCCATGCTCAGAGAAGCTGCGGCTGCCCCATCCCTGGCAGTGTTCAAGGCCAGGTTGGACACAGGGGCTTGGAGCAACCTGCTCTAGTGGAAGGTGTGCCAAGACAGGGCAACCCTGGAATAAAACTTACTAGAAACAAAAGCAAAATGAACAAGGCCCTTTCAGCAGCCACATACAAAGTGCCCCCACCCCGACTGCCACATAAAATAGGATATGAAAAAAAATCCCTGCACATTCAAAGCTCAAAAGCAGTTCTACTGATAAGGTTTTATTTACTGCACCAGCTCCGTGCTGACGGTGCAGGCCTGATTCTTCCCTTTCTAATGTAAATCAGGAGTTCATAGAAAATCAGAGTTATACAGACATTAAATCCCCATGGGATCTGAGTCACGCTCAGTGCCTTTGAGTAGTTAACGGCTAGATTATACTTTGCAATGCTAA